ACTGTTTGAACAATTAAGCAAGGAATTAGAATTTTTTCAGAAATTTTATGCTGGAGGGAGGGAAAACCTGGTGCTAGAAACAGAAACAGATTTCACAAAGTGCTGACAGCTCATCAGATGGACTTGCAGGACGGAAGAGCAGAACAGCCATGGATCAGTAATGCGTAGGAACACACCAACTAGCACACTAACAAGGATGCCTTAGCTGTATGTACTTCCTGCTCTCCGTTAAACCTAAGCCTACCAGAGATGGCTTGGGTTGGGGTTGGGGGTGGGGCCATTGTTTGTTCCCCTTCTCAATGTCAACACACTTGATATATCTCATTTCTCTGCTTTTCAATATTACTTGACACTTTGTTGAGAACGAGCTAGCTTGTTAGGACTGCCAAGGGCCAGCTTGTACACTAGAAACTCTGGTAACAGGGCCACTGGAGGTGGGTGCATGAGCTTGGGCCCTGGACAGGCTGCACACCTACCAGCTGTGTCCTGATCCTGCTCTCTCCAGCTCCTGCCACTCCCTCTGGTACCCTGCTTCTTTCAGGAGGCAGTGCCAGGGCTCCAGGGCTGCACAGGTAGCTACTTCCAGCCCACTTCCACAAAGCTGGCCAGGCAGCTTCAAGGACTCCATGCTTATAGCTGCTTCACCAAGAACTAAGCTAGCTTGAGCTTGGCCAGACACCCCAAGAAGACAGAGCTCTATGTCACAAGGCCTGGCTTGGGGGTACTTGTGCCCTGACACTCCTCCTGAGGACTGTGGAGCTACCTCCCCATCCTTCAGTAGTCCCCACAACTCCCTTCCCTCCAAAACAACCAGAGCCCCTACAACATGGCTGAGTGCTCTCCTGGCTCCAAGTGCCCTCTGGCTCTGGGAAATAAATTCTATCTTGGTGACTGCCAGGGTTTAATAGCAACTGAGTGTAACAGCAGCAACAGTGACGACATTTAAGTCACACAAAGAGATTGCCCCCATTTAGATCCCTGCCTGGAGCTCCAGGTGTTCCAACCCCACCCACCTTGTTCAAGAATTAATGAGTACTATGGTCACTGACTGCCCTTCCAGGAGGTCTCACCTGGATGCACAGAGCAGGAGCCAGATGGGGACAATCCTGCAGCCAGGCTCCCCATGTCACAGTGCCTGGCCTAGCCTGGCCTGAGTCAACCCCTCTATGTGGGGAGCTAAGGGCTGACTGGCTCGGAGAAGCCCCAAGAGGGTGACCGGCTAGCCCGTCCTCTTTCCCTGTTATGTGCCCTCCAGTCCTGCCCCTGTTTTCGCCATCTTTTTCTTTTGAAGGGGACACCTCTCTGAGCAACCATGTGGGTCACAGTTGTCTGTTCACCCACCCTAGCTTCTGCCTCCAGATCTCACCATCTGCTGTGGTCCTGCCACCACCCATCACACCTAGGCCAGGTTCCACACAGCCTTCTCCCACCCCCACGTGGTACTGGGGCGAGATCCCAGGACCTTGTCCTTGTGAAACAAGTGCATCAGCCCCCAACCCTCCCACCTCAAACTCTGCTTGAGCTCCGAGGCTCAGGCTCCGGGGCTCAGGCTTGGAGGCTCGCTCGGGGCTATGTGCTCACACTTGCCTTTCAGCTCTTATCGCTGCAACCCCGCTCTGGACTCCACTCTTTGAGGCTCCCTACACACCATGGCTTCTGGATCCTCTGCCACAAGCATCAGACCCCACATCTGCAGTCAACAAGGGACAGCCTGGAACTCTCTGCAGAGGCTCAGTGTGTAGCTCAGCTAATTCATAACATATGAGTCAAATACAGAAACATCAAATTGTCTGCCTCTCTGCAACATTCCCACCAATGGTCTGCAAGCACAGAGCCCCTATCACGCTCTGTCACCCTCCCAGCTGCTAGGCTTCCTGGGTGCAGATTTGGTTCAGAGAGGGTAGAGCCACTCTGGTCACACAGCCAGGAGAGTGGAGACAGGGATTTGGGGCTCTTTAATCAGCAGCATTTTAAATAGGGTGTTGAATAATGAGCTCTAGAATTTATCTGGGCTAAATACAGGGAATTCTAAGGCAAGCACAGGGGAAGTCTAAGAGGCTGAGTGCCCCATTCTCATCTCCTGGCTTTACCTGATGAGCTATAGTGAATGAACAATAGGGGAAACAGGTAGCCCTCTACCTGGCTGCCCATAGACAGTAGACAGCACCCCCAGACCCCCTGCACACATGCACATATGCAGGCCTCTCCGCACCTAGGCATTCGGGGTCCCCCTTCCAGCACTGCTCCATCCATGCAGAACCCTCCCTCCTCACAATTTGCTTGGGAGATCCCAGGGCACAGAGCACCCAGAGTGCTAACAAGGCCCCAAGGGTATGATGAGAATGACAGGTGGGGAGATACTGCCCTCTAGAGGGATATGTTACCCGCTGTGCCACACAGAGGTGGGGATGAACCTGGGCAGTAATGAGAGGCTCCACAGAAAGCAAAAGGGTAATAAAGACAGTCTGAAGATGACAGGTTAGCAAGGCCAGGGACTTGCCAGGGTAGGTAGGAGGGGTGAGCTGGGCTCCTATGTGCAACCTGGGCTCCTATGTGCAACCCTGAGCATCCACATTTTTATTCTCTCACCAAACATTCAGCATGCTTAGGACCTAGCCCAGTGCCAGACTCAACCCAGAAGAACCAGCTGTGGGCTGACACCTCACTGTGGAGAGAATCACAAAAAAATCACTGTATGCCAGATGCAGTGGTGTGTGCCTACAGTCCCAACTGCTCTGGAGGCTGAGGCAGGAGAGACCTGAGGATAAGAGTTCAAGACCAATCCAGGCAACATAGCAAGTCCTTGTCTAAACAAAAATGGGCTGGAGAGTTGGCTCAGTGGTTAAAGGCACTTGTTGTGAAAGATGGGGTTGGAGTCCCGACTCCCAGCATCCACATGGAGACTCACCACCTCCTCAGGGGCCAAACGTACGGGTGGTACACATATGCACATGCAAAACATCCATATACATGAAATAATAAAATTAGTTTTAAAAAAAACTAAACAAACCCCAAATCAGCTGGGGGTATATCTCAGCTGAGTGGCTCCTCAGCAGAAATGAAGTCCTGGGTTTGTCCCTAGCACTGACAGCATAAACTGGGCATAGTGACACACACCTGTAATCCTAGCATTCAAGCAGCATGAGGATCAGGAATCCAAAGTTATTCTTAGCTACATAGGGAATATGAGACCAGCTTTAGCTGCAGGAGAAAAAAGAGAGATGTCCGTTTAAAAAAGAAAATGTCCACCAGGCGGTGATGGTGGAAGCCTTTAATCCCAGCACTTGGGAAGCAGGTGGATCTCTGTGAGTTGGAGACCAGCCTGGTCTACAAAGTCAGTTCCAAGACAGGTAGGGTTACACAGAGAAACCCTGTTTCGGAACCCCTCCCCATATTGTGAAAGTTGCTTGCTTGTGGTGGAGGCTTCTGTTACTAGTTGCAAGAGGGCCCAAGGAAGTGAGATAAGCAGAAACTGTCCGCAGAGGGAAGGGGCAAAGAGTCTACCTGTGGGCTGCCTAGGCTGTTTGCTTAGGTTAAACTGGATATGGGCAGGGCACCGTATGAGATGGGCTCAGACTCAGAAGTCTGAGTCCCCCAGAAGGTTGGGGACAGGAGCAAGAGTTTGGGGTTGGAGGTGCCAGTGACAAGGATGGGGTCTTGTAGCTGAGTGAGGGCTGCGGAGACACAGGAGATAGAGATTAGTTAGAGTGGCTTGGGTAGGGAATGAATCTCAGGGAGTAGTTGGCTAGCTTACAACTCTCTCTCTCTCTCTCTCTCTCTCTACACACACACACACACACACACACACACACAAACACACACCCCACACACTCTGGATCATGAGTTGAATCAGGAGGAGGCCGATTCTTGTCCTTGGCCAGGACAACATGAGAGGATGTGAGTTGGGTTTTGAGTTTGGCCTTAAGGTGTCTTGGGCTTTAGCAGTCTATATGCCATGTGCTATTGCAGTTGCCTAGAGGCCAACCTAAGTCCCATTTGGGGGCCCCAGTCAATAACATGGTCCTTAGGGCCAAGTTTCAAATACCCCTGCCTACTGTCACAGCCCTCCCCCAACTCCGCGGCCTCCCTGGACCCCCAGCCACTCAGGACCTGGCCCTGCCGGGGTTCCCCCAGGCCTGGTCGTTCCCACAGACGTCCCAGGAGCGCGTTCCCGCGGGTCCAGCGGTCGCTAGGCTGCAGGCTGGGGCCCAAGCCCTCTCGGCCGAGCTGGCAAAGAGTGGTGCAGGTGGCAGCGCATGGCGGCAGAGCCCGGGCGCTCGTGGACTCAGGCGCGCAATGCCTACGGCGCTAG